TGGATATAGCTCCCATATATATCTTCATCCGATTTCGGGTTAATTGTGCACCAAATGGCCGATATAAGTCCAAATGGACTGAATTTTAGTACATCGGACCAAATTCAGCCTAGAAGCAAGTATATCAAATTTAGTGAAAATCGGTTCAGATATAGATATAGCAACCATATATATGTTTCATCCGATTTAGTGTTTTAGTCCCATACATTCGTAATATTCACTCCACAACCGTGATATTTGGTACAAGCTATTAGATGGAGCATAGGAATAGCTGTTTTAAATTTTATCGAAATCGGTTCAGATTTGGATATAGCTCCCATATATATCTTCATCCGATTTAGGGTTAAATGTGCACTAAATTGTCAATATCAGCCCAAATCACCTGAATTTTCGTACATAAGACCGAATTCAGTCTAGAAGCTAATACGTAAAATTTGGAGAAACCCGGTTCAGAGATAGCTATAGTTCGTAAAATGCACGATAGAATTAGATAGATTTTGATTTGTGCCAAATATCTCATAGAGCTCTGAAATGCCCTGTATAAACCTTTTTACGAGAGCTCTACTAAATATGCATAGTGGTGTAGGGTATCATATAGTCGGCCCCGCCCGACTTTTGAGCTTTCCTTACTGGTTTTATTTTAATAAATCGTTGTCATTTGTTTTATTATTATTTTTATTGAAATATTTTAATTTTGTAGTCGCTATTGTTGTTTTTACATTTTTTAATGTTCAAATTCATAGTAGGGCATTGAGCATTTGCTCATCTCCATTTGCTGGCATTTGCCAGCTAGACGCATGCTTCGCTTTGTCTTTTGGCTCAAACAATGGGAAGAATAGCTTGCGTCAGGTGTTATGGGCACACTTCTATGGTCTTGTCCATCTGTGAAGCCAAGTCGGTAGTTAATTTTGTGTCAATCTTTGTCCGTTTCATTTTTTCTTCATATATTTAACATTTTTCATAATTTGCATTTTAATTTTGATTTTGAAAATTATTTGCATATGAAAAGCTGGCAGTGTGCGATAGCAGATTGGACAATGTATAGCTTTAAGGCATTTAACAAAGTACATACATACATACGGTAGCTCTAGTAAAACACATATCTGATCAGACCAGATTAAAACCTTTGAGCTCAAGATCCATTGGTGCAGATCTCTGGCCAGAGATTAGTAACAAATCGGGGAATTAGTTCAACTCTAACGTACTTATGAATGTATGAATAAATAACGGGTATACAATGTTCGTCATTTCATTTTTATGTCAAGAAAATAATTTTTTATGATTTTTCCATCAATTATATAGTTATACTCATATTTAGTTTAAAATAGTTCGAAGCTTTAACTTTTTAAGGACATTAAAAAAAAAAACTAAGTTACTTATTATATATTAAATGTCATGAAGTACTTTACACATTGTCATATTTTCAGGTAATGATAGAAATATGGGTATGATTTCTCAAAATGGTGATTTTTTCAAAATTTGTGGAGGATATACAGAAACCCCTGTACCTGAAAATATGACAATGTGTAAAGTACTTCAGCAAAAAAAATAAAATAAAAATAACAAAAACTAAATAAAAACTGAAGTCGATTCATGGCTTATGGTCTACCAATGGAACGATTTAAATTATTTATTTACAAAATAAAGGTCAATTTAACAAGGTCACGCAGGATTCGAATTTAGACCTTAGTCATATCTTGTTGTCAAAAGTACTTCAGCGTAAACCACGAAAAATAAACAAATCAGAAATTCGCTGCAATGTTATTTTGCTGAGGGGAAATATTTATTTGAATGCAGGAGAAGAGATTTCGCTTCAGTAGAACTAAACAAAGTTTTTACAACTAATTCGATTTGATTTCAATATCAAACTTTTGAAATCGACCCTCGTATTTCCTCCTCGATACACAAATGTGTATTGGGCATATGCGACTGTGAAATCCAAAACTTTGGATATTTAAGTAGCCCGTTGTCGCATTGCCCGTTGATGCTGCTGGTGCGCTGCTGCTATTATCTGGCGGCATATTTTGTGTGTTATTCAAATGTCCAACTGCTGTAGAAAAATTAATGTCAACTTAAGATTATTTATAAATTTTATGTTATTGGCCAGAAACAAAAGACCAAAACAAGTTTAGTGAACCGAAATCATAAAAAGTCAATATCTCTTCACGAGCTATGGCGACAACAACGAAAGCAAGCCCCACAAGAGTCGGATGGTCAGGTAAGATGATAAACAGTAGTAAAGATATGTTTTAGACAATTTCTTTGTTGTTGCTGTAGTTGTTGTTGCGAGACTGGTTCGAGGGCGCTACACTATGGCCATTATTCGGTGAAGAAAGCGTTATAACCTATAAACCGGAGATAATCCAATACAATGTTGTTGATAATGTGGACCTGTACCCAGTTGCATACACATGTATGTCTGTCATCTGACATGGAGAGCGTACATCCGCCTCTCGGTAATTTTATAGGAATGTTTGTTGTGTCCGCTGCCAGTGTTGCCATTACTTTATGGCCATTCCCAAATGAGTGAGTGCGAGCGAGCGACGAGGGCACAGTTCCAGTGTAATTTTTGTGGGAAAATATTTAGACACATTTTGCTGTCGATTTCAATATAGCGTTGCTGTTCTGTTTTAACAGGAACAGCAACGAGTTAATATGTAAATTTTTTTTTCAGTTTTGTCGTTCAAACTGAAGAAAGTCATAAAAACGTAACACTTTTTTTCTTAAATACTTGACAACACAACGACGCCAACCACACTCGTTGTGCCCACTGGGCCGGCCAGTTTTAAGAGCGCGTTCGGTTCGCATCGACCATAAACTCCATATCAAACAGCATCCAATCCATGCTCCATGTAATCCCGTTCACACATAACCCATAACTTTTGTCAAATGCTAAGAAAAAAAAACGAATTTAAAAACCCCCAACAAAAACAAAACAGCCAGACAAAACCCCAAAGAGAGACACAATAAAATGTTGTCAACACGATCAGCTTATGTGGTCAATAAAAATGTACAATCTTACCTTCTGTTTATGTTTAGTAATAATAATAAAAAATATCTATAAGTAGACACACACACACACACTGTCGTCCCAACGACAGTCACATAGATAGACAGGCTCAAACGAATAGCTGTTTGTTATCTTTTACGGCGGCACGGAACGCCGCGTTATGCTCTGCCCCAGTGATCGCCAATCTTCCCAACCCAACTCTGTCTCAAGTGATTCACACGAATGTTGGTCATAAATAAGAATCGATCGACTACTTCATATATCTTGTGTTTTCTTTCTGTATCGATTAAATTAAATATATATATATATTTTTTTTTTTGGACACAATGGATCGATTTCTCTCCCAAATGTTTCTATTTTCGGGGTGATTCAACAAAAGTGGCAGCACTTAAAATTAGTCGTCATCTACTATAAGTCAGATATGTAAATAAACTTTGATTGGTATTGAAATTCAATGCGGTTAGCTGTGACCTTGCCAGCTGCCAATTCATTTTAAAATTGTAAAGTAAATTCCAACAATATCTTGTTTGAAAATTATTCGAACGAAACTGGTGTTTATACATAAAAGTAACGCACTACAGCAACACCATTTTCACAGAACAAGATTTCGTCACATTCTAGGATTTTGTTAATTTTTTATTCGTATATGATATTGAGAATTAAATAATTGTGCAATTTAATAATGAGTTCTTGTTACATTTTTTATAACAACTTTGAGTTTTGGACTCACAACAGATAGATGTCACCTGAAAAAAATAACGATTTAAATGAATAAAGGCTTCTATCAAATTTGGAATTTGGAAATGGAACGCATATATATATACTTTTTGTGTGTAAGTAGGTACATACTATGTCAAAAGAAAGTGACAGCGCGCAATCTCATAACAGCCAAAGTCATAGGAATTGTTGCTGTAATTATTGTGTCCGTGACATGAATAGCGCGATGTATGAGCGCAGGAAAAGCAAAAGGATACACGGACATATACAGACATGTAGTACTTAGTAAACGTATGTAGGTATGTATACATAACTTATAGAGACATATACGCATTAATGTATACGAGAATACCTAAAACATGCAGACGTCTATTTCCAATTGAGGCAAAAAATGTCAAATGCGGTTAAATGCCACTGACAAAACCTAAACAGAATTTGTGTAACTTTGTCTCAAAGCCAATGTGTGTGTGTGTGTTATATGGCTTTGTGGTTAGGGGAAAATGGGATATGCAAACGGTCTATACAAATATATGTACATTTGGAAAAGTTGATAAAAAAAACTAATTTGTAATATGTTGTTGGAATTTGAAAATTTAATTTTAATTTATATTCATTTAAAGTCGATTTAAATGGAGCTATCTAAGTTTTCTGAAGTATAACCGATTAAAAGTTATTCATAGAATCATGGACCCTATTCAGGAACTTTTGAACAACTTTGCACATTGTTTATGCTTGTTTTGTTGCATTAATAAAAGAAATTTTAATAACTTTTCAGTCGATTAAAATTATTGAATCACTGACAGATCTAAGATTTACTTATTGTTTAAAAGTAATACATATTTTACATTGGCTTTTGTTCTTTCCAAATGAATTATTAAAAAAAAAATTTAGAGAAAGCGGTAATTCCTTGTTATTTATGGTTTCTTTTTAATAATACCCATCTTTTATATAATATTGTAAACATAAAATTTTTCTTTAGAAACACTTGTTGGACGGTAGTCTGTCTATTAAATTCGTTGCCAAATATATATAGCATTTTCAGATTAAATGAAACCTTTTGCAATTCAAATGAAACTTGTTGCAGCGGAAATGAAATCTTTTGCAACCGAAATGAAACTTTTAAATTTAAAGAAGGAAAAATAACAAAATATTTTTATTTTTACTAGTTTTAAAATTAAATCAATTAATTATAACTAATATTTTGATAAAGAGGAATTTTTATTGATTGTAAATATCTACATTTTTATATTATTTATTAAATTTTCAATTATTGTAATAACAAATGGTTCTTTATTGATTTGATATAAAATATTTCCATATTATTAGATTCCAAATGCTTAACGCTAAAAATAGAAATTTAAACAAATTTTGGCCTTTATAGGTATGGGCAGGACTGAAATGCGAAATTAAGCATTACTGCAATATTTTATAGTTAAAGTATACAATTATTCTTACCTAATAAAGGATTCCAGCTTCACAGCTTTATTGATTATGGAGATTATGGATTTCAATACCAAACATCCTAGACACAATAAAATGTTGTGCCAATTTTCGAAACTCTTCATCAAATCTCAAAATCATGATTTCAATAGACAGACGGGTGGACATCATTAAATCAACTTCGATCATGATTGTATAGAGGTATTACAAACGGTATGGCAAATTTAGTATACCCTCCTTTCCATGGAGGAGGTTATAAAAATGTGTCTAATTCAGGTCTTTTGGAGGAAATATCTTAAAAAACTTTTTTATGGAAGCTGAAAATTTAAGCAATAATGTTAAGAAAACATAGATACTAATGATCAATTAAAATTCCTCTTTAACTATATATTAGTTATAATTAGTTGATTTAATTTTAAACCTACTAAAAATAATTTTTTTTTTTTTTTTTTTGTAATTTTCCCTTCTATAAATCTAAATCATTTCCACTACAAAACGTTTCATTTCCACTGCAAAAGGTTTCATTTAATCTGAAAATGCTATATTAACATTAATATATGCTGCCATTCTGAAATTCCATTTGTTTCTGACATATTTAATAAAATATCAATTCCATTCTGAAATTCCATTTGTTTCTGACATATTTAATAAAATATCTATGTGTACAGGGTGAGATAAAAAAAAACGCAACAAAGTCAAACCCAATCAGATTTTGGTGGCCATTGTGCGCTGGAAATAATGCGAGGAACCTCGTGTAACCATTCTTGGGTGGCGCATGCTGAGTGCCATCACCATGGCCGGCGCTTGAGTTCTGGTGGCCAACCGAATGTGCACATTTTCAGCTGACCTCTTTGGCAAGTAAACACGATCATTTTGTTTGTTTACAAACTGTTGGACACCGAATGTTTTCTCATCAGAGAAACCCAAATTTGGGAGTTCACCACTTTCGGCCACTGCGACGCGGGTTTCGATCAAACCTCTTCTTTATATAAAGAAATCACACTATCACGCTAGAATTCCATCACGAATAATTTTATTTGTGAAAAATTCTCACCAAAATGTACGCTTTTGTACGCTTGTAAACAATATAATGAGCTATGACTGGAATAATTTTAACAGCTGTCGGATGAGTGGCTTAGAAATGACAGCAGTCTGAAGTTGGTTACAGTTTTTTAATCTCACCCTGTATGAATATCAAAATGTAAGAACTTGTTATAGCCTGCCAGATATATTCGCGTTTGCGTTGGGGCAAACATATGTGTGAATCAGAAATCAGTGAGAAAAATATCTAAATTAATTTCAATTTTCAAACATCGATTTGAATATCGATTAGCACGACATAATTACAATGATTAAAAAACCAACATAACACTTGGGCATGGCTATGTGATACTTCAAAAATTGACCCTACACCTTGCTTGGGAAAAATAGATTTGAATGTAAAATTTAGAATCTTTCCGCTGAAGCCAATTGCGGTGATGTGCCTACTTCCTAAAATGCCGATGCTCACTTTATCATAGTGTCCAAGTCTGTTTTGTATTCGCATGTAAGATTGGATTGAAAATAAACTGCACCCACTCATATTCGTGCAAAAGAAATCGTAAGATAATTCAATTCGTTGTTGCTGTCTCCGTATAGGGGTATCCTCCGATTTAAATTCTTTTTTAGATTTTATCCATTATATTAAACCCTCACAAAAAAAATTCTCAACCAGATCTACGTTTTAAGACTTATATTCTGTAGCTTGATCGTCAGTGTGATCAAACAATACGAAGATTTGTAATAAACAGTAAAAAATACTGACACGTTCGTCTGTATAAATTAAAATAACACTAGTCCTTTTATCAGAAAACACACATACACATGCAAAGATACATGCATGTACGTACATAGACATATGTGCTGATAAAAATGTATTTAGAAACAAATTGTTGGCACAGTAGCAACCCACAAACATGGCAATAATCGAAGTCATCGTATTACTTTGTATTTGTAGTACAAATGTACAAACATATGTAAATTGTTGCATACGTACCTATCTACATCACAGGCACTATATGCATGTCTGTCCTTCCATCTACCATACCCTTCGTAGGTACTTATTCAATATTTTTGTTTTTTTATTTCATATTCATTTAAAAGGGCAGGCGTGCGTCAACGGGACTGACTCCGGCTTGATTCGTCGTATCCTATTCTTAGTTGGTAGTTGTAACGGAGTTATGGCCTCCTTCACTCCTCTCTCACCCTCCCCTGGGATGGACATTTTATCCTGGCTGAGGCATGCGGTTATGAGTGTTTAATGTGATTGTGAGCCTGAATATTTGTCCTGTCAATGTAAATGTTTGCAAGTATTCGATTGGGTGTGAGTGAGTCGGTATGCGTTTGTATGCGTGAGTGTCGCCTGTGTTTGTGCACAGACAAAAACAATATGTTTGAATGCCTAAATACGGACGTGTGTAACCATTACCCATTTTAAGCGATCCATTGGTTGTGCGTAAACAGAGCCCAGACAGCTGGAAGCACAAACTCATGGTCTCATAAAGGGACGGACGGACGGTTGATCGGACAGACAGACAAACTGACAAGTACTTATTACTACAGTATCTCATTTTAGGGGTATCTTTCAATTTGCCATTGTTGCACCACTTGAAAAGTTACGAACCCCAGTGTTTTGTGGTCTTCCCTTGTTGTAGTGGTTAGCCTATGTATGAACGCAATCACATACAGTACCTGGGACGCAACCCCACACTTTTGTGGACATTTGTACACACATACATACTACATGTGTGTATTTTTGTTATGTCATAAATAATTTTGACATGTCTAGCGTGGTGTTGCAACAAGGAAAACATTTGACTTTGTGCCATGGTCGGAGCATAAAAAGGGACTACAAATTTAATATTGTTGTTGTTTTTTTATGTTTCTGTTTGGTTTTATTGCGGCAGCTAACCATACACTAGCGCCTTGCTCTTTCTGTCTTCATGAGAATCGTAATTGAATAGTGTAATTCACAGGGTTTAACTAATTCGTAGCACGCAGAAACTTGGGTGCGAATTGCCTTCGATGAGGTGGGAATTGGAGAGGAAACAAGGGCCCTTCACAGGGCCCATCACATCGGACGAATATGAATACGGATCACATTGTTATTTGAACAGTTGTTGGTTAACGCTCAGAGACACGGCCGCATTTTGTAGACGGCGAAAACAATACACTTGTCAATGGCGGCAAATTGATTGTTGTGAGCGTTTGTTTCTCTTTAAATATTTATCGGTTCTTTACAAAAATACCTACATACATACATAGCTACATATGTATTGCGAAATTTGCAATTTAATTTGTTGAGTGGCCGATTGAAGTTTTACCGCCCAGGCACAACAGCATTTTTACGTCACCATATTTTTTTTTGGCTGTGTGTATTCAGTTGGATTTTTTAAATAAAAAAATTAACAAATTTGCGGCAATATTTTATATTTAAAGCATCACCAGCACGGCGGCTTAATTGCCTTTTGATTTGTTCCCTTTTTATGTTTGTCAAATTCAAATATAAAGTTCTAGACTTAAAAATTCTTATGGGGAAATTGTTAAAGAAAGTCCTACAAATAGAATACTAATTATGCGATTAATGCTACGTTAATTATGTTATTAAATATATTAATTAATGTGTACAACGGCAAGCGACAATGTCTATATACCTAGGTGAATTAGGAGCTGTTTCAATATATTATGGAATAACAGATAGAGTGTTTGCTTTCTATTTCAAATTTCCAAGACCTCTGCTTTCAATGGTGAGTTGGGTACACAGCCATATTTAAAAAACACTCCACTATATGTCTGAAGATTGGCCTAGAAAAAATAAATAAATAAACATACATCTTTGATACGTGTAAAATGCTCAATCGCTTTGGCAGAATTTTCGGATATGTATCATTCTAAGCTTTTAATCAGTTCGTCATTTGTTGCCCAAAACTAATGGTCATACGGGTCCATACAGTCGCAATTATCCTTTGATCATGCAGTCTATTTTAGAATTCCCATTCGTGGTTGGCGGAAATGTTCAAAGCTCCTCTTGAGATTCTCCAAGCTTCCTTAAAATAAATTAATTATTTCCTCAAAGCTAGTTGAGGCCAACAAATGTAAAGGAATTGTAGAAAAATTTATTATTATTCGCGCACGAAGGTTTCAAATGAATCGTTTTTAGCCAAAAAACAAAATACCTTAAAGAAACTCTTTATTTTCACAATTATTTAAGAAATGATAATTTTTTTTGGAAAGTTAAGCCTTTTTATACCCTACACCACAAGGTGGTCAGGGAATTATGTCTTTGCGTATCTGTTTGTAACAGAAAAAAGGAAACGAGTTAAACCCATAGTTCCTTTTGATGATCTGCATAGAATCACTTTCTGAGTGCATCTCCGTCCGTCCGTCTGTCTATCCGTCTGTAAACAAATTACAGGTCGAATTTATTGCCCGATTCCGATGCAATTTTCACAAATCATTTATTTGACCCAAGGACGAACTCTATTGAAATCGGAGATAATCGATAATATTTAGATATAGCACCCATATACATCTTCGCCCGATTTGCCTTTTATTGTGCACCAAACGTGTAATATCAGCCCAAATAGTGTGGAATTTTGTACATACGATCTAATTAGACCTGAAAATAAGTATGCCAAATTTGATCGAAATCGGTTCAGATATAGCTATAGCTCCCATATATACTCTTCATTCGATTTGTTATTTTTGTCCTCCGCAGTCGTAATATGCACTCCGTAACAACGACATTCGGGGAAATATACCAAATGCAGCTCAGAAATACCTTTGCCAACTTTTATAGAGATCGGTTCCGACTTCAAGTTAATTGTGCACCAACAAGCCCGAATTGAAAAGGCACAAATGACTAGGCAAATTTAGTAGAAATCGATTTAGTGGAGAATATTCCTCGCATATATTAGTTCCTTTGGTCTTAAAATTATAACTTTAATCATTTAACTCTCACAAATTCCCCATAAAAACTTGTATTTGTTGTGTGAAAAGTGGTGTGAGGTATCATAATGTCGGCCCGCCCGACTTTAAGACTTTCTTTACTGGTTTTTGTTTAAATTTTCCGTATAAACAGGTTACGCAAGAAGAAGATTTTATGCAACTATATTATTATCCTTGTTAAGTGTAGACGAAATGGCAACGCAGAAAAATAATCCTTTAGAACATCTTTCTGAAATTTCCAAAAATATTTTCTTTGAACATTTTCCTGCTCTCAAAATTCCCATTTTTATCTATGGGAAAGTGGTTGGGCCGAGCAAAAATGTATGTACTGCATTTGTTTTGTGATATTTGTAATCAATCGAATAAAATGTAATTATTTGAATCCTATACAAGGAAACTCAACCATGGCCGAGGGAATGGAAACAATGTATGGCATAATCATAAATTGTATCTTGCACCTTGCGCCCAACTAAGACCTTTGCGCATATTTATTGGTTATCAAGGCTAATGTCCAGGTTTTGTTGGTACAATAAATTTTCAGACGTTGCTTGATCGATATATGGCCTGTAGGGGGAACAGCGAAACATTTTTATATGACTCCTTCAATTCACCCCACTGTTTCTCAACAGATGCTAACACAGTCGTAAGATTTTATTGACTCAATAAAACGGACAAGATGCTTGAGATGCCTACGAAATATTGACCAATATTTCAAGCAAGTGGCGAGTGGTAACTTGTTCTAAACATCATTTGTTTGGTAAAACAAAAACACCCAAAACAAAAGTTCTGTGGATACAATGACATCTCCACAGCCTATCTACAATTATTCGATTATTTCCCTTCGTCAAATATTGCTACTGATTTCCAGTTTTCTTCCAAATTCTTTCCAACTTTAAAAATCGAATCCGAACAATAAAAAAGTACAAATTCAGCATGAAAAGGTCCACATCATCTTTTATCTGGCGTTGGTATCTGACTGTCAATTTCGCTTACACACAACATCATCAATTGATCGATCGATTGGTCGGCAGATCTGCCGACGGCCCGACGAATGGATTGCTGGGACGTTTGAATAGATGGATCGCATGGTTACTTAGATTGTTGACAAAGATTTCGTAATCGTTGCTAAGGCCTATTGTTGTCGTTGTCTGTCATTTCACTAAAAAATCGATGTATCTTTCGTGTCGATTGAGATATCCATTCCATCAATAATGACTGGCGTTTCATTGCCTGCAGAAGTGAATTCGCTGTGCCCTGGTTGGCCGCTCAAGACGTTCACGATGACAACTGTCAAATGTGACCAAAAAGAAATCACTTGTAAATTTTTGGACAATTTTTATGATTTGTCATCACCTCACCATACCCTCGGGGCAATAACAGTAACAGCAACAACCACAACACACACACACACACACACACAAACAAACAAAGGCAACATTGTTCACCAACCATGAAATACAATTCCAATAAAAAAAAAAACAGTATTCATTTTATACTGAATATCTTTCGAATCGTACGGTAAACACCGTGAGAATGCCATTGGCATTTATTGACGTTGTTGCCAGCAATCTCTACATTCTTGAGTAGTTCGATGGAAATCGTTCGGATAGACTACATTCGTTGACCATTTTAAGCTTATAAAGATGTTAAGTGTGCAAAATTCTCTCAAATGACTTGTAGGAAAATGTGTATGTTTACGAAAAGGCCTACACACAGTGTTACATATTGTCCTCACAAAAAAGTACGTGTTTCGATAAGCCTTTTTACCAAACCCATTTCTTACACGATATTCGGTAGCTATTTTTGAAAACAATGCTTTTAAAAATCCATCAAAAGAAAGTGAGTTGAAAGTTTTAGAATACAGCAATTACAGCTTTTATAGCCTGCACCAGGATAGGGAGGGTTCGTTGAGTTTGTCATTTTGTTTTTAACTTGTCGAAATAATCATTTAAGAACTTATATAGAATATTTCCTAAATAGCATACAATTCTACAATTCGCTGTATCCATTAAAAGAATAAACATATGTGCTTCAAAATTTTTTTTATGTTTTGTTCAAATTGTGTTATTTTAACGGTGCCACCGGATATCCAGTATTTTGAGGTCTTTTCCATCGTATTAGGTGAAGTTAAAATATGTGTTGTAGAAATAAATTGAAATGGTGCCCTTAGACTAATTTTAAAATATATCCAATCTCCAATGTAAAAATCTCCAATGTAAAAATCTCCAATGAAATTATGACTCTAAAAAAATTAATGAGAGACTAAAAAGACCGGGATAATATACATGAAAAAGGACTAAAAGCATGATTACATATAATGAATGCACTGGATTTCAAACAAATGTGTAGAGCGTTGTAGTCCTACGTTTATATCCAATCACCATCGCCCTATCGTGATTTTCAATGAATATTTTCATATATTATCACTTCTAGAAATTAAAATTTCACAACAAAGTTCTTGCGAGTACAGATAAATTAGAACAAAGGTAGGCTATAATTTGAATCGGTATACATATATATTTTTTCATTTATTCATATTTTGTTGTAATTCTTTATTTTACTTCGCCAATATTGACGTTAGCTAAATGCGCTGTCGCATTCAAGTGATTGGAGCTAAACGGCTTCATAGCCAGTTTGGCTAACAAATAATGCCATACAACAAAATTAATTATTGTGCATTGAGTTTTTATGCCAAATTAAATAATAATTTAAGCAAACAATTGTTGGCGCTGCTTCTTCCTTCCTCTTCGCCTCTATTTGCAAAGTTATGTAAAAATATGCGCCTAGTTTGAATGTTTGTGTTTAATTTGATTCATTGTTGTTTTAATTTTAAATATTAATTATAAAACGTATTTGTTCGTTAAGTGTAAACATTTACATGCGATGGTTAAAAAACAATATATATTTATTTTTCTTTTGCAATTACAAATGTTAACCCGATAACCTAGCGGAACGCAAGTTGCTGGTAGTACTTTTTTGCATTAGAAAACTTGAACTGGGTCTCAAAATCTGAGGTGAAAACGGTTGTAAATGAAAAAATATCAAGTGAACAATAATTTCATATTTTCATAGAACAAAAATCTAGACCCTAAAGTACACACATACTGCGTCAAACCTACCAAATACGGCAAATTGTATAATTTACCCAATCCCGAAAATACAAGTTTGAAAAAATGTAAGAGAACTTGCTATAAAAGCTGAATATGTTAATATTGGAAATGTACAAAATTGTTTACAAAAGTAAACTTTTCGGAGATGTTGAGGTCCGGGGATTCCTCCTTGCGAACTTTTCTGGCTTGTTGTATTTCAGTTAAAAAAAATCAGTAGGAAAAATTCCCGATTTCTTTTGCCGAATTGTGCGCTTTAAGTTGTGTACAAGAGATGTTCCAATGTCTGATGCCTGGCTAATTCTTCTAAGTTTTCAAACCCCACAAGATCTTTATGATCAGAAATCCAAAGAAGGTTACATTTGCTAGACGGTCCGACTTTTTGTAGAATAATTTTGTACGATTCCGTTGGTGCCTGGAGATCTGTGTGATGAGTAAACTTTTTCGATTGATTTCAATGTTATTTTAAGTCCGCGTTTTTGCGGTTCGAATTTCAATGAAGGAGAGTTGTAGTAAGGGATCCGGAATCCTTAATTTGTATATATATTTTACATATATTATCTAGCTCAACGTGTCTACAATTAGTGTAACTTTTTTTGGTATTACTAGCCATAGACTGTCCCCAGCCATTGGACGTAACATTTATTTGTTGGCTGTTTTTGCTTAAAAACACTTTTTATTTGAATACATTTTAATTTTAATTCTTCCTTGCCGAAGAAAAAGAATAGCCGTTATCAAACAGAAGCCGCTACAAATTGTGAACCGAACAAAGATTTATCGTTTTTATGTAAAATTTAAATTTCGGATTTGTTTAAAATTCAATTTTGTTTTAACATCTTTTGAACTGTTACGTTTGCTTTGTTTGCCCAAAATGTTTCATAGTGAAGAGGGCGGGGGGCGACAAAGATGCTGTGATGACATCGACTGGTGTGCTTTACTGGCGTTGTTGTTATTGGTGACCCTTTAGGTGGCATCTCCAGTGATTTATGACGAAAATATTTATTTTTAAATACAAAGTTGTGGTCACTTCGTCCGTAGATATTGTCTATTTTTTTTTTAAAGTAGTTGGAAGAATGACATGGCTGCTTAACATAAATAAATGGCAACCAACTAAATCGTAGTTATAGCAGGGAACATGGATAATAATATTAACAATTCTCAAATTACAAAAAAAAAGGATGGTCATTGAATATTTTATATTTTCAAATACGATAACAAAGTATTTCGGAAGCCAGTTCTTTAAACATGATCAGGGATAGCCTCGATAATACCCAACCAGCTAGGTCATCATCTGTGCTATATGTATTCTTTTATTTTCATTGTAGGTATATCTGAAAATTGGGGTGTACGATATTATCACATTAAAATATTGCAAAGAGTTACATCCGGTAAAATCCACGAAGAAAACATGTGTTTCGGGAAATGTATGCGTTACTGTTTGAGACTGTTTATAGAATCTTTTCATAATTGTAATTTCAATAAATAAAAATTAGTTTTAAATAATCCGCTCAACGATCAAAATTGTACTTTCATTTACTGGACATTTGGTTCAATGTAAAGGATATAGAAATAAATTATACAAACAGTTGGGTTATCGTACACACCTAATATTCTTGCAGTTTACAGCCCATTACCAATCTATTACCGAACTGAAAGGTAGTTTTCCATTTAAGAAATAATGACTTGAATTTTTATTTAACTCAATATTTTTTTGTCAACAAACCAATCGCAAATAGTTGTTCTTAAATGTTGATATATTTTAGCTTAGGAACATTTTGTTAATTTTATTAATGTTTTTGATTTTCATTACAGACTGAGCTGCGTTCTTGCGCAGCGTGTGGGGAGCCAATTTCAGATAGATTCTATCTAGAAGTTGGTGGCTGTTCGTGGCATGCGAATTGCCTGCGATGCTGCATGTGTATGTGTCCGCTAGATCGCCAACAATCCTGCTTCATAAGGGAACGCCAGGTCTATTGCAAAGCGGATTACAGCAAGTAAGTTCCATTCCAGATATAAGTCTATACATTTTCTTTTTTATTTTTGGTCCCAAGATTAGAAAAAGTTTTGTCACATGCCGCCCACAGACGGCGATCGAAACATAGTTTCCCTTTCCCCAAATATGTATGTTCAGGTGTTCAGAGAAAAACATTTTCCCACATCACAAAAGCACCTGTGTGAGCTTGTCTGTGCACGGACTTGTATGTTCAGTCTTAGACGTGAGAATAGATGGATATTTATTTCAATATCTAAATTATAAATGTCATCATTTGGCTTCGCGTTTAATCCGTAAGACAAACAACGAACTTCAAACAGTCCTCTGCGTTGAGTCCCAATCTCACCGATTCATATCATACTTCGTCTATCAAGACGACAACAACGCATAGCAAGAGGGGGACAATGAAAATATTAGGTCGACTGAATAGTCAAAGAATCAGAAGATAGCTAGTGCTACGGGTGAGAGAACGAGGAGAGCTAGACAGAGAAAGCGATACAAATTAATAATAACTGATGTTATGAATGTTGTGGTGAGCCACTTCATCATCGTCATCATCATGATTCGGATTCAATAGATCGCTGCGTTCCTGCCACTGCCACTCATGCATGTCTTGTCAACATCCGATGTAGACGTATGCATCATGCTTCTCTCAGACTGGCCAACTACTCGTGCCGACACAAGGCAGTTCGATCAAGCCGACGCACTGGGTCCGCACTGTTGAAACAGCATTCGATTGTATCTGCGATGAATACAAAAGTATCGCCACACAATAATAGCAAGTGCTGAGCAAAGAGGAAAAGCCCAAAGCCAAACACGCCGACGGAAATAAGAAAAACATCAAATGTTTATAGGAGACTGTAAAAATATTTGTTTTTCAAGTCGAGCATAATAAGTTTGAAAATGTAGAGCTGTGTCGTGTCGCTCAAACCAAAGGCCCAATGCGTTAGAACAAACTTTGGCTAGGTGCAATGGACATCTTTTTGCCAACACACTTGACGACACGTCGAACATAACAATAGCATACTTCCGGTATGTCAGACATCTCAGGAAAAACAAAGAGATGTGTTTTGGATTGTTTTTTGTGGCAGACTTTTTATTATCTTTCGCGCGACTGTTGAAATAAAAACACTTTAAATCTATATTTTTTGTTTTCGTTTTTTATTCTTTCTTACAGAAATTTTGGCGCCAAATGTTCGAAATGTTGTCGCGGTATCTCTGCCTCCGATTGGGTAAGACGAGCCCGTGATTTGGTGTTTCATTTAGCCTGCTTCGCGTGCGACCAGTGTGGTCGACAACTTTCCACTGGTGAACAATTCGCGCTAATGGAAGACAGAGTTCTGTGCAAATCCCACTATCTGGAGACGGTGGAAGGAGGCACTACCTCAAGTGACGGTAAGTTTAGCGCCAGCTTTGTTTTTGTAAACTGTGTAGTGGTTGTTAAACGGTAGCAGCTTAACTTGTCACATGACGAATAAAGTGTGTGTCTGTGTGAATGTATGTATATTGTGAGCCACGTACAAATACATGTCGGAACCTGACAAAACCATGTCAGTCACAGCCAAAACAGCTAAACCAAATAAGCACAAACTACTTGACGCCATCCATTTGACCATCCATCCATTCGTCTGACACTCCTTCGTCCCACAAAATCATTTCATTTATTTATGCCGACTAGGTAACGGAGTCAATTTTGTTACTACACTTCCTGACACAGTCAATCCGTTCATGCACATGTTAGTCCCGGCCACCGTCCATCAGTCAGTCAACCGTTTAGCCAACAACAAGTTGGCAAGAAACGTGCTTCGAAGTTCATCTTCCTCCCATCCCAAACCACTTAAATTCGCCATGCATGCGGACAGCGAAAATGTCCAAAAGTGACACATTTAAAATAAAATCTCCCCAGTTATTCGCGAGGCCTTCAGCATGCCGTGATGGATGGTTCTGACTTGGGACGACATACATACACATGTTATGCTGCATAATTCACAATTTGAATACTCGGACATATTGTTGGTGGCATGTTTAATCCCGTGCATGAGAAAAACTGCATAAGATTGTTAATAGAATAGAGGATGAAGAGAATGCAGGAACGTAATATCAAACTCTTTCAGTGCGCATTTGAAATTTGTCCTCTGTGACACGTTATTCGTTCAATATCCTCATATTCTCCAATGATGATGATGACCTATTCAATTCTGTTTCCCTTTCAGATGGCTGTGATGGTGACGGTTACCACAAGAGCAAAACGAAACGAGTCCGGACAACGTTCACCGAAGAACAGCTGCAAGTATTACAGGCCAACTTTCAAATAGACAGCAATCCCGATGGCCAGGACCTGGAGCGTATCGCCTCTGTTACGGGCCTGAGCAAGCGGGTAACGCAAGTTTGGTTTCAAAACTCCCGAGCACGTCAGAAAAAACACATACATGCTGGTAAGAATAAAAGTAAGTAGTGTTGTAGTAGTTGTAGTGCGGTAGCGGTAGCATATTACTAGACATACCTACATAATTTGCCATATACATATGTATGTAGATGCTGAGTTTTTGTTTGTTTCGCAGTTGTACGTAGAATTCCCTAGCTATGGACCTTCAGACAATCTTGTTCCGATTTTCTGAATATCCGAACTTAAATGTGTTTGTCGTAGATGTTACTTACATACTTATAGAAATATTTTCTACAACATATTTTTGATTGTAGTGCGTGAACCCGAAGGAAATTCATTTGCCCGCCACATCAACCTGCAGCTTACCTATTCGTTCCAGAATAATGCTCAAAATTCCATGCAATTAAATGGCAATAAATCCGGATTGTATCCAGCTCATGGTAAGTATTACGAATTAGTCAACATATTATAAGAATCCTAGTCAGGTGATAGTCGATAGTCTTCCAATTACTCATAGTTCTCTTCCAGAACGACGGACAGTGCTTCAAAATTCGATTTTCGTTACATATTACAATCGAGGAAGGCAAAAAATTAGGTTTTAGTGATAGGGGAGGGTTGTTGAAAGAATTGCTCAAGAAAGATACAATGATTTCTCGGAAACTATAAATGATTTCGAGTGATATGCTCTTGAAAAAAATGGAGATTAATTGATTGCTTTGTAAATAGTTACAACTCTAAAAATTGATTAGGTTAACAGACAAGCATTATAAAGGCAAAAATATAAATTGGGTAGTCTCTTTGCAAAAATATGGCTAAGAGTGTCTTCCTCCTTCCCACATATATTCTTAAAGGAAATTTTACAAGAAATGACTGATATTGGCCAGGAAAATGATCACTATGCGGAGGACTTAGTAGAAATCCACCGTCAAAAACCCTTAAATAAACCAATGATCTAACAGAAAGTTCAATTACATAATCTAATTTAACAAAACGCATCTTGAACGAATACTTGTTTTTAAATTTTTACCTACTATAAATCTCATGGCTAATTTTTATTTTTTTTTGCTTCCTTTTCAGAATCTTCAATGGATGAATTATCACAGGATTCCAGTGTGCATTGTATGCAAAGTGAAGTGTGACTTAATCTGTTAGAACCTAATTAGATCAATTACCTTACCTTATTATTAGAGTTATGTTCTTTTTTTTTAAGAAATATTGAAAATATTTTATAAAACAAAATGAAAACGTCCTAATCCTAGTCAAAATTGCAAAATCGTCCAATTCTAAAAAATACAACAAAACAAAATTAAATTAAATGAAAAGCAAAACAAACAAACAAATCGATACATGTCTGGAGAAACGTAATAGCAGCCAACATAAAAAATTTAATCGACATTTATGTATATGTGCATATGTGTATCTATGTATATATATATATGTATGTACACTTGTATATTTGCGTCAAATCTATGACTATATTTATATAAACATTCTACGGAATACATTACAGATGGGCTATTTGCAGTTAAAAAAACCATAAAAGCAACAACAAAAACACAAGTCCTTAGGAATTTTTTAACAAAATATTTATGACAATTTTATGCAATGAGACCTAATTTAATTTAATATCTGTCCCCACCTTTGTTGTATTCATAGTCCTTGCTAAAATAATTAGAATATTTTAATTTTGCTTGTGTGTGTTTAAGTGAGCGTACTGGCTGGTGAGTGCAAAGGATGAGTAGCACATAGGAGATTGTGGCAAACTTTTTCCTGCACATAATTCTGGAATAGCAGTTGATATTTTTCGATTTCAGAAGTTGTATATAGGAGTATAAAATGTTGTATTTAGCAATACCACCACACTTTTCTTTTGAATTCTCAAGACACAGTGAATTTTCTAAGCATTTGCTATTAAACAATTCATTCCCCATATTTTAAACGACGGAAAAGTTTACAGGGCAATATAGGTTTAAATACACATTCTAATTGTTTGATTTTTTATTAAGTCGGCAGCAAAGTTGTTTTAAATATTGTTTGATAGCATGGGTAATATTTATTTAAACCCTTCCATAACTGAATTTTGGGCTCAGCATATTGGTATTACACTTAAATACCTAAATCTTTGATGCAGAAAATAAACAGAAATTTAGTTGTTTTAAGTTACTTCGATTAGCCATCGATTTCAAAAAAAAAAGTCAAAATCTAGTTCTTGTTATGAAAAAACTATTTAAGGTTATGAAAAAAAAAACTGTTAGCAAACTTAATTGGTCGTCCTACATTCCTTTTAAAGGCTCCTCACACACACACACACATACGCAAAAAATATTTCAAATTATTTCTTCCATTTCTGATTTGGTATTTTTTATTTTCCGATAAAGTCGGAAGCTTAAATGGCTTCAGTTTTTAGTGTGTTTTAAGATCCCCTATGTTATGGTAAAAGTCATGTTAAGTCAACTTTGATTTTGTAGCGCCAGCATATAATGTTGATTTGATTAGATTCCAATGCTAAGTCATGTTTATAGACCAGTTCTCCCACAAGTGATAATACCTCTGTTGTCCACACCGACACACACCCTATATCATTTACATATGCATGTGTGTGCGTGTATCTATGTCATCATGTATTAAATCCAATTGCCAGATCCTGGAACTTGTTTAGTTGTTATTATCATCCACATATTTCAGTAGCCCGGTGTGTGCACTACGAAATTTTACTCAAGTTAATGGACTATGAATGACCATTGTCGAATGTTGACAATTGTCCTAAGCTAAACACACATTGTATCGGTTAGTGTATTCAAAGAGAAAATTATTTTAAAAAAAACAACAACTTCGATGCACATTTCCGATCTAACCAACTATGGACACACAGACAGATATTCAAAACTAAATGGTTTCATTACAGCTGAAAATCCGAATGCCAGCATCCGGATGCATTCATTGCATTGCATACATACATGCATATCTATGACTCCAGTTGGTGTTAGTTATTACGTATATCATACACACATGTATGCTTATGGATAGATGAGGACACAGCCTGCCACACTTTATCCATATACAAAGACACATACACACATTCGTAGGTACATATATACATATGTATTTACATGCTAATATCCATCGTATGTATTTAGTTAGACAGATATACTGTAAATTAATTTAGATAAACAATTTGTCCCTGTAATTTATATTTAAGAATGATTAAAAATAAAACTGTTGTTATTGTTTATTTCTTGTTCGGTCCTGTTACTTCCTATGACCACATTCCCTGCATCTTTATATGTTTCCCTTCTACCCGCCCTCTTTGCGACGCAACTAAAAACAATTTTCGTTTGCATACATGCATGTACGTATGTATGTATGTATCGGAGAGATTCAAAGTTTTGTACAATACAATTTTCCTTTAAGTTCTAAGTTAAATTATTTAAATGAAGAGATGTTTAAATTTAAGAGAAATGTTTTGTAGATAATAACAATTATAATTAGGCATTTGTTTTGTAAATAGTAATTGCTATATCATATAAAAGTATTTATAACAACCAATAATAATGAAAAGAAAAACAACAACAACAACACATTCGTATATATATACACAAAATCTATATGAAAATAGAAACGAAAGAGAAAAGATAAATAAATACAAAAGCATTTTCAAATTTAACAACATTCAAGTGTTTTCATTTATTTTGGCAAGTTTCTCCGCTTCTTTGAAAAATGTTTGATGGCGATCTTTTATTTTGGATATGCGAAACATTCGTAAAAAGATGGAGGTGATCAACTTACAGAAGTGGATGCATTTATTCTACAAAAAGAGTAGATTTGGTTTTATCAATAAAACAATATCGAGTTAGAGAGTATCAGTCGGTTTGCCGACAGAAACATACCCACAGCATATGGCGCTTTGCATTTTAACCAATCGGCCACTGACCGGTTAGCACCGCAATAGTCCTGTCAGGTTCCGGCGAATTTGGCAAATCAGGAATCAGATTTTGATATCTTACAAGTTTCAATCTTGTCCCGTGTGGACTGGTGCTTGTGACACGTGACCGACACCTTTGGAAGTTCGTTAGAGGCAGATACCACTCTAGCTAGTTCGTCTGCCTTTTCGTTACCAATAAGATCTGGGATCCAAGAACTATTATGGTCAGAAGCCCTATCTCAGCCACTTCTTCTTTACGTTCTTCCACTAGCTGTGATGTGACAATGTTCAATGCTAAGAGCAGCGCTTGACTTTTTACAAAATTTCCTAATTACTTGGTAAATGGTACTGTAGAAGTACAAGCTTCTCTTATGGCTAATATTTCCGCGTGGAGAAACCTGCAGTCTTCAGCTAGCTTTGTGGATGTAGATATATTTGTTTCTTCAGAGTAGACACCAGAGGCAACTCCGGAGTTCATTTAAGAGCCATTTTGCACCATTGTATATGTAGAGGGCTTCTGCTAGGCAAGTTCTCATTGACCCTGTCACCCCGATGCATACTGATCTTTTCCACTGTTGGTCACCCAAATAGTGCTCCATATGTGAGTATTGCTCTTATTATGCTGATGTACATCCGTAATACCATTTTGAGTTTGAGGCTCTAATGGCTTCCAAACATTTTACGACATAAGTAGCGTGCAACGGTTGCATTGTAAGCACAATGACCCATTTTGAACTTAGGATAACGCCTAAATATTTGGCGAGATCTTACATTGAAAATAGTAGTTTTCCAGGATTCACCATTCCAAACATCCAAAAAGGCAGCTCCAAGGATATTTAATAATTCTAACTACCACCTACTGTGTCTTTCGAGCGCTCTTTAAGGTAAGCGTGTTGACTAGAAGGTGTGTTATTTGGGTTATCCATCTTTCCTCGAATATGCACGACGATGAGTCTTTCGATCGTTTCAAGCTGGAACGATGAGAGACTTATGGGTCTAAAGTCTTTAGCATTTTTGTAACTACGTTGTCCTGTTTTGGTAATTGAGTAGTTGAGGGATCTGCTGTAGATGTGCACTAACTAAAGAAAGTGTGTTTTCAAATATTAAACATGATCTAGGCTAACTATTATCCTTCTTGTATATGGTCTTGTAACCTCTGTTAACTAAGCATTTTACTTCGTTTTCGTAAACGCAGTGTTCTTGATGCCTATGTCAAGCTAGATCCTCCTCCAAAAGAAGGATCCGTAGGTTATCTGAATCGAAGGGGGGCGAAGATGTGGATTTGATTTATAAGATCACATAAAACATAAATTTGCCTCTGTCAAGTTAAATGGAAATCAATTCAGATATAACTTTCACAGTTTAGCCCGACTTTTGTTTTTCAGTAGGTGGTTCATCGGGATTTCTTTTACCAATGTCGTCCGAAGTATCGCTAAGCTTAGCTATGTTTTCTTCAGGAGTCCCTTTGAGTACTTGTCCATACTTTTCTTTGATAGCCCAAATAGCAATTTCATTAAAGGGTCGTTTTGTTGTAGATGACAGAATGCTCTCGCGTGAAGTAAGATGTTGTGAGAGTTGTGGGGGATTGCATCAATCAGTCTTCTTTAGACACTTGTCGGCCATTCAGATCCTCAACATAGCTTGATCCTGTATATATTTATATGTCGCTCGTCCCTAGGAGAACTATTACAGCCGGGATTTGGAAAGTCATTGACGGAGACAAGAGACCTATACTTTATCTTTTATTTGTTTGATATTCAACGAAAAATTCGGAATTTAAATAAATAATCAGATGTTAATTCTTCTATTATCGAAATTTTCCACTTTTTTCATGAAGTTTTGTAAGAATTGCAAAGTGGCTTCCTTTTTTCTTGAGCTATTGGCATAGATCTCAGCTTTCACGTGGGCCCAAAAAGATAAATGGCTAGACGTTAAAACACAAGGTCTTGGTGACCTTCGAGAAATAACAGGCCAAAACCTTTTCTAGGAAAATAGCATTGCTTGTGTGGTGTGTGGCTTTGTTTTGTACAAAAAAAAAAAAAAAAAACTTGTCCAGACGTGTGTCAGAACTCTACTATAAAACAATTATTTATCATTTCTTGATCCATTCACCGTACCTGTTGATCCAACCTAATTTTTGATAAATAAGCCGGACCATAAACCGTATCAAACAGTCACACGTTGAGAAGGGAGAGACTTCTTAACAATAACGCTGGAGTTTTTTTTGGAAATGGGTCTCATTTGTTGATTTTTCGGTTAAATTCCGGATCATTTTCATGCAATTCAGAAACCCTATCAGCGAAGACACGATGTCATTGACGATCGGCCGTGTTGTTTTTTGTCTTAACTGAACTTTATAAGCCGCAAGATCAGAGTCTTTGTGCAAAATACGGGCTACAGCAGAAATATTTCGAGTTGATATAGGAACTTCGTTCTTTAGATCGGAAACCAGAGGTATTTGCTCTTTACATGCGATGAATATCGTCGGCACAGAGTGTGGGCATACCACTATAAAGCCACTTATCGTTAGCAAACTTACTTTTCACTATCTAATTCTGTGCAAATTTTCAAAAACGCACTTAATGCTCAAAACCTTTCAAACTCAAAGCTAAAGAACAACCTGATCGCTTAATTACATTATGGTATTCTCCAAGATTTTGTTTTATTTAGGAAATTACAAAATTCCCCTCCTACACAATATTCGTATCATAGACACCCAATAAAAGTGGAGGTTTATATAATATCTTTGGTTCTTTTCAATTTCACACATACTTATGAAATCCTTTCGAATTTTAAGCCTGCCCACCAAATGACAATCAAACAAGGCGTTTAATGGTAAACATGTTCGGTGTTAATAGGACTTTGAAACTTTGCATTCCTTAACTGGAACTGATCAAAACCTTCCTCTTATCAAAATGTCCACATGCTCTGTAAGTTTTTAATGCAACATTATGAATAGGAAATTAAAGATCTGCAAAATAACGTAAATGTGTTAATTTAATATTTTGCAATGAGTGGAACCTCCAATCCGAAACCGAATGACGACAATGGCCAGACACAAAGAATAACGACAAGTGTTTGAATGAATTTGAGAAATGATGCCATCACCATCTCAAGAATCCATAAAGCGAAAAACTTCATCGTGAATTGGTAGGTACTACTCAGAGCCGGAGCGGTGGCGAGGACATTTTATGGTAATGATTAATGTTCGCTTCGTCCCTGTTCGAGCGCATAGAACGACAATGGGAAATTAATGATACAGTTGTATCTCGAATCGAAATTATTTTGTTTCGAGTTAAGCTTGAAAAGCAAACAACGATAAGAATGATCCATGTAATGAAAACAACATTGATTCGTCGACCACTTTGTGGCTGTCCACTCATAAAAGGAGTTCAGAGCTCTGCTGATGATGGTGCTGGTGCGGATGAAAAGATGAGATCTTTGACGAAGATAAACAAATGCAGACTTCGAGGAAGATGTCATGCCTTTTTACGCCTGCAAACAAACACATCGCATTTCGGCAAATATCATATCATTCACAGCACAAGCCGTGCACCTCCCTTCTCCAGGCACTCCTCTCGCCACATCGCACATGTGAATTTGTCTGGGACAGGTAAACAAATGAGCAACCTCCCAACGATCACAATCTATCATTTATTGAGGAATTGAAAACTCTGCAGTTGTAAATGGGAATGAGAACCTGTTTGGGAACAGCGGACCACGTTGACGGGTGGCCAAGATTGAGTGCTGGCGGATTATGAGATGCAAGCGAACAATATGTCCATTATTAATGATGTTAGCGATTTGTTTATGTTTACTTGGGAACTGGCCTCAATATTCCTGCTCGAAAGTAAACATTCAATGTTACGACATTAGCGCTGGAAGTGGCCCTGTCCAACATGCCGAACT